GCTTCTTTCTTTGGACAACTCTGACGATTCACTGATGCATGGCCCTTGTCTTCCCGTTGTCATTACCTCATCTGCAGTGATATGCATGGCTCACAGCATCTCTGTCCAACGCCATTAAGTGTTTACTTCTGTGCACAAGAAACTGAAGCAAGAATGAAGCTGGTGAAGCTAATAGAAGTTTAGAATTAAAAAAAATCTGACTTTAGTTAATAGCATACGTTGAACACCCAAGCTGGGCCTCCCTGGGACCCCGGTCCACACAGCCAGGTCCCACCCGGTGCAGAGGTGGGTGCAGAGGAGGAAACCGAGGCCCGGGAGGAAGGCCGGCGCCCAGGCCACATGGAGGAAGCCACGCCCCCCCAACCGTGTGTATTGGGGGGCAGGAGGGCAAAGGGGGCCCCCATGGTGTACGTCTAAGGGCTGGTTCTGGACGCGGCCAGTATTGCCCCCCTCCCCCCCATCAGGGGACATGTGTCAATGTTCGGGACGTTTTAAAAATATATATTTTTATTAAAAAAATAAAAAAACATATATATATTTATTGATTTCAGAGGGAGAGAGAGAAAGAGAGAGAAACATCCATGATGAGAGAGAAACATCAACATGGACGGGCTGCCTCCTGCACGCCCCGCACTGTGGATCCAGCCCGCAATCTGGGCATGTGCCCCCACTGGAATCGAACCCTGACCTCCTGGTTCATAGGTCTATGCTCAACCCTGAGCCACGTGGCCAGGCCCCCCTGTGGCAGCAGCCACCACACTGAGTGGTCGTTCCCTTCGTGTCCGGTCCCCACGGGTGTGCGATGGTGCTGTGGGCAGAGACAGGGCCTGAAGGCAGCTGCCCCCAAGTGCACAAGCCAGGGGCTCCCCTCACACCCACCAGGGACCCCCCGGCTTCCGAGAGGCCACACAGTAAGCGTGTGAGACCATGGGCCCGTGGGTCTCCGTCAAAACTGACCATTCAGCCCGGCCGGGCAGCTCAGTCGGTTAGAGGGTCGTTACGAAGCGCCAAGCTTTCGGGTTCGATCCCCGGTCAGGGCACCGACGAGAATCCACCGACAAATGCATCAATCAGGGGAACAACAAATCAATGTTTCTCTCACTCCCAAATCAATACATTAAAAAGAAAAAATACTGCCCTGGCCGTTTGGCTCAGTGGCTAGCGTGTCGGCCTGCAGACCCAAGGGTCCCGGGTTCGATTCCGGTCAAGGGCACGGACCTCGGTTGCAGGCTCCTCCCCGGCCCGGGCCCTGGTCAGGGTGTGTGCAGGAGGCAGCCCATCGATGTGTCTCTCTCCCATCGATGTTTCTCTCTGTCTCTCCCTCTCCCTAAAAATCATTGGGAAAATATCCCCGGGGGAGGATTAGCAACAACAAAAACCTCGCCCAGGTCAGCGAGTGACAAGGGGTTCGACCCCAGGTCTAGCCTGTGATGTTCCCAGCCGCGGTTCTGCCCCAGCCCCTCGGGGGGCCTCCCTCCCGGGCGGGCGACCCCAACGCTCTGATGTCTCCTCTGGAAACTCCGAGTCCTTTTTGAACAGGGGGCTCCCGTATTCCCTCCGCTCGGGCCCCCCAAATTACAGTCCATGGGACCCAAGGGGTTTTCACAGCAGGTCTCGCTGCGAAAGGGGTTTGCTGCTGGAGTCCCCCCGGGACCCCTGAGCTGTGTACACCTTGGGGGAAGCGCCTCGGGGCAGGAGCTCTGGGGGTCCCCCCTGACCCCCCCTTTTCCTTCCAGCGAGACCATCATGTTCCTGCACCAGATCTTCTACCAGGGCCTGAAGGCGCGGATCTCCAACTGGCCCACGCTGGTCCTGGGTGAGTCCCGGCCCCCCACCCGCGGGGTCCCCCTCCAGGGCCACCCTCCAGGCCGGGGCACGTCCCTCCTTCCGGGGGGACACCCAGTGGCACCTCAGGAGCCCCGGAAGCCCTGAGAGGGATCCGGGAGGACAGATAAGTTGGACAGAAGGCGCTGTCACTGGAGGAGGTGACGAAGCCTTTTGGTCTTTATCCGCTTCTCCCGTTTATAAATGACTAGAGGCCCGGTGCATGAATTTGTGCACAGGTGGGGTCCCTCGGCCCCGCCGGTGATCAAGGCCTATTGGGGGGCTGGCCGGCCTGGGGGAGGGGCCGTGGGAGGTTGGCCAGCCTCGGGAGGTTGGCTGTGGGAGCGCACTGACCACCAGAGGGCAGCTCCTGCATTGAGCATGTGCCCCCTGGTGGTCAGTGCACGTCATAGTGACTGGTGGACCTATTGTTCCCGTCATCATTCGGTCCTAATGATCCCTTAGGCTTTTATATATATAGATATAGATGTCCGTGTGCCTGTGGGAGAAAGCTCAAGAATTCCCAAAACAGGAGGAAACATTTAAAAACGCCCCCTGTGGCTCTGCCTCCCCGGGTCCTGCTGTAAACACGGGGTTTTCTCCCAGCGTCTCTCTGTGCATCTCTCAGGGTGGTTCCCCCCTGCCCCCCCATTTTGCGTGATTGTGAACGCACTGCATACAGGATTTGGGTCTTGCTGCGGCCGTTTGTAACGGGTCTGTGTGCTGCCAGAGGCAGGGTGCACAGCACAGCACCCCCTACACCTGTCCCCCCGGGCATATGTCAGACTCAACAGGGCCCAGCTCTCAAAATCCGGTGTTGCTCAGTGGTTAGAGCACCAGCCCATGGACTGAAGGGTCCCGGGTTCGATTCCAGTCACGGGCGCATGCCTCCATGGCAGGCTGGATCCCCGGCCCTGGTTGGGGCAGGTGCGGGAAGGCAACCAATGGATGTGTCTCTCTCCCATCGATGTTCCTCTCTCTCTCTTTCCCCACTTCCCTTCCACTCTCTCTTACATATCAATGCGGGAGGATTAACAAAAAACTATCTGAGATTCTGAGGGGACCCCACGTCGGGGGCCTCCTCCCTGGCCAGCGTCCCCTCCAAAGGCAGGGTCTCTGGGGGAGGGGCCTAGGGCACCTGTCTGTCTCAGGGGGGAGGTGCTGCCTGCTGCCCCCACCATCCCCGCTGACCCCAACCCCACTGACCCCACCAACCCTGACCGCATTGACACTGACCCCACTGACCCCACTGATCCCACCAACCCTGACCCCACTGACCCCACTGACCCCAACCCCACCAACCCTGACCCCACTGATCCCACTGACCCC